CTTGTATCTCATATGCCATTAAGAATATCTCTCAAACTATTTTAAGATCTGTTAATCTATGCCAATTGACTGAGAAAAATAACATATTGACAGATGTATATGTGTGTTTGACTTTATATTTTTCATCAGTTTCTATAACTATTTTTTTCTTTAAGGTGAATGATTTTGTGAGGGATAAATTTATGCACAAAGATGGGTCGGTCCCACTTGCCGCAGAAATTCTTGCTGGGGGCTGTGTAAGTACCTTCTATAGATCTCTATGTTGGAAAGAAATTTTTCATGTGCATATCTCTGCCACAGGCACCAAGTGTGGACTAAGGTTTCTGTTTAACTACAGATCCTGTACAAGGCCAGAGTGTCATAGCCAGGCAACCGTCCTTGAGGTGAAGGGTAAATGTTTCTGATCTTACTGCCTGTTTGGTCATGCCTGTTCCATTTTTCACTGCTTGTCGTTGACCCTGCAGTCCAGCTCATTTGCGGCAGAAGTCTTTGACTTTTGAAAATCTTTGCTAGTCCTTTCTGAAGTTAATGTGTGCATTCTTTCCTCATGGTATCCTGTGCTGGGTCCAGCACTAAAATTTGTAGCTTGGAGTCAGCTGCCCTGGCTCTTTGCTTTGCTTTGCTTTGATTTTCCTTGCTTTCTTGCAAGTGGCTGTAGCCCGACCAGCTTCCAGTGCTTCCTGGAGAAAAACTCTTGGAAACAACTGGCAGAGGGTGTTCTGCCCTGTCAAAAATGTGTGGACTGATTGCTTTTGGATATGGCTGACAACCTGCACCTTGTTCTGAGCTGAGCAGAACATTTTCTGGCTCTGTCTCATGTACTGTTTTGTCCATGTGAATGCAAATACTTCAAGTAAATTAACTCTTGTACAAAGACTGGTGCCATTTAAAGATAAGGTTGATTAAATAAACAGACTTTGATCATTCAGGCAATACAATATCAGTATATTTCCTTCTAACCTTATATATATTTTCTTATAAGAATGATGAGGTCACATTTTTCTTCTTTTTTTTTTTTTTAAAATTTTAATCGACCTATTCTAGGCAGGAAATAGTCACAAAATCTTTTTTTTTACCCCCCTTGGAAATCATTGTGTTTAGAAGTTGGGCAAACACCTAACAATCTAAGAGCTCATGGGGGGAGGGGTGGCTCTTTGTCTCACACTGAATGTGGCAGCTTCTAAGAAGTCTGAGCTCCTGGTAATTTTTAAGAGATGGATGGAATTTGTCTGCTGCCCCACTCTGTTTGATCACTGACCTGTTAGAGGTGGTCAGGTAGGGTCCCCTTGTTCTGTAACTTTAGGAGCATGCAGGATGAAAAAGGGGAGCCTTTAATGTCCTCAATGAAAAGTGCACACAGTAGTAATCACGGACTTGCAGTAATTCAGAAACTGTTCTTCCCCTTAAGGTACTCTTCGTTTCAGGCAGCCCTGCAGTTTCCATTTGAGTAGCTGGGTTTTCTCATTTCTACATAGGTGCTTCCCCAGTCTGGAGCTAGCTCTGTTCTTTGCAAAGACACTGAGATAGCAGGGCACTTTACTTGGTCAGGGTACTTTACTTGGTCAAATGAAGGGTTTCTTTCTTTCTTTCTTTCTTTCTTTCTTTCTTTCTTTCTTTCTTTCTTTTTAAATAGGATTGATTTTTGAACCTCTCATCATGACATAAGGTTTTAAATCTGTGAAGAATTTAAAAAGTGAAGTTTATTTTATGATACTAGCCAGGGTTCTGGCAGCCATCGTGGCATGGAGCCTAGAGATGTATTTTCTTCTTAATGAAAGAATTTTGCCTGCACATGCATTGGGGTGCCAAGGAGATTGGCTGTGGTATGCATTGTCAAGGTGTCCTCTGTAGGTGGTCTTGTTTTCAAGTATGGTGGCCCATTTCAAACACAGAGCACAGACTGGCATCAGAAGTGGTTTCTAAAGAGATGCAGCCCCTTTTCAAACTTGATCTAAACACAGGCTTAAAATTGGAGCCACTTGGGCTTTACAGGTACTTAAAATATCTGTGAAATGAGGTTTGCCACCCTTCATCTCAGAGGCTGCTACTCAGTGGTCCTCTGCTGTTCAACTCTCTTGTTTTGCTCCCCTCACCACACCAACCATTGCTAAGAGATTATGTTCAGATAAATGGTCTTGTAAGGAGTAGAAAATTCAGGTGTCTTTAGAGGGCTGAAGAGAAGGCTGGATGGTTCCGTTCTGTGAGGGTCTGTGTGTCTGTGTCCATGTCCATGCTTTCCTAGTTACAGCAGCATCTCTCCCCATAGGCTTTTGCAAAGCTTCCTCCTTTCTGAACTGGGTGGATCATGAGAAGACCAGAGTTCTACAACCTGGCCTGTCTAATTGAGAATACAAAGGGTTTTGTGACCTGGTGTCACATGAGCGGTTCCCTGCTTTAGCTCAGCCAAGCATTGCTAGGCGTTGACTTTTAAGTCCCTGGGGAGCTCACCTTGCTTTCTTTATTACTGAGCATTAGCACACATGGCTGACTTTTTGCACTCATAAACTAAAGCTGTTCATTTCTTTGAACAAGGCTTTTTCTGTTTTATAATCTGTTTTTGACAGAAACAGGGAAAATATGCAGGAAGATTATTGTCCTGTCACCTGTATCTTTATAGTGCCTGACCAATCTCATTTATTATTTTTTAAAAATGAAAATGATAGCATATTGGGAATAAAGTACTCACTGACACTTAAAAGGATTAAAATTTATGTAATTTCTTCTGTTTTATTTTTATAAAATAGTACTTTGAAATGAAGAGTCTGAAAATCCCCTTGTTTCATTGACAACTGTAAGGTAGTAAATCTGACATTACTTTTGAGCTTATTTTTCATATTGAAATTAGTTTTAGTTCAGAACCCAGCCTAAAATTTGACTTCTTTTCTGAACATTTTCATAGATTTACAGTGACTGGTAGTCATAAATTCGGCATCATTCAAGTCTAAACTGAATGCTGACTCATAAGTCTGAAAGACTTCTAAGTCTGATAGAAATATGTGTGATGGTCTCATCTCTAGGAGGATTTTCTGCTTTCTAAATTAGACCCATGGCTGCTGGAGTTCTGAGAAACTCGGGCTTCCCTGACAGCGAGTATGTGCGCCTCCTCTTTTCTTCCATTCTTCCGGTTCAGAGCTCAGCCTCTATAAGAGAATGAGGTTGAGAACCTGGTAGTAGCAGTGCAGGTTATCAGTGAATGTGGCAGAGGAGAGGACCTGTGACCACTGCCCATTCCCAGCAAGGTTCCAAGGACTCGAGAAACTAACCTGCTGGCCCTGAGTAGGTTTGACTGCTTTCTTGTTGCAATCTTCAACAACAACAAAACAAAACAAACCTTATAATGTCATATGGCTTATACAGGCTTCCTGCCTTTTGTGCTTCTAAGGAGTAGAGGGTTCAAATCCTGGGGGCCATCTGAGATCTTTAGTTTCGATTCTTTGATCTCATTAAGTATCAGATAAGGAAAGGTAAATTGTGCCATGATTGATTTTTATGGAAGAAATAGAAATTGCCTGGCTTGAAAATCCAACATCCACCAAACAAACTGTGTCAACCATGGGTGAACCTTTGTCTTACAGAGCTCATATTTAATAAAAAGAATTATTTACATGTCAGTAGAGGATAAAATTCTGTAATCTTTTTGTAAAAAACTGAGCATGCACGTGATACTACATACTAGTATTTTTCTGTTGTTTGGCACTCATCTGTGTGCATGTGTGAATGTGCCTGCTGTTTGTGAGAATTTGTATTCATTTTGAGTGGGAAAAGTCATTGATATGATCACACCACTAGTTCTAGAAACAATTGGAAAAATAGCAGCATTGGGACTACAGAGATGGTTTAGAGGATAATGCACTTGCTGTGCAACTCTGAGGATCAGAGTTCAGCTAGAGACCCTGCCTCAGTGAATAAGGTGGAAAGCCATCAAGAGAGACATTCAGCTTCAACCTTGAGCCTTTATACACATGTTTATATATGTGCTGAAGCACCTGCACACCTGCGAACCTATGCACATACCACATACAACATATGCACACCCCACATATGAAAAACAAAAAATAGAATAGCACCTCTGGGAAACTATGGAATGAAAAATAATCTGAATTGCTCTCCCTGGAAAAATGGGTCAGACCCCAAGCTGTTATCTACTTGTGTTCTCACATTTTTTTGTCTTTTGTGGTACTGGGGATTGAATTTAGGACCTTGTGCATGATAGACAAGCACTACTACGGAACTATATTTCCAGTCTTCTTTTTACTTTAAATTTTTTTTCTCGTAATTTTGAGTCAGGGTCTCATTCAGTTGCCCGGTAGGCCTTGAACTTGCAGCCTTCCTGCCTTAGCCTCCTGTGTAGCTTGATTATAGGCCTATGCCATCACGCCCAGCTTCTCTATTCTCACCATCATGGTAATTCTCTTCTGCAGGAGAACTTTATCACTGCTTATGTAACAGTATATCAGATAGACAGGTTCTTGCCAGGTAACCCAGACTGAACTGTGACTGAAGATCCTTGTACGTAGCCTCCTGAATGCTAGGATTACAGATGTGGACCACTATGCTGGCCAGATACTTTTCTTTTACATGTATTTATTTGGGTGGCAGGGAACAGTGCACAGACATATGGAAGTCAGAGGACAGCTTGCTAGAGTTGGTCCTTTCCTTCTATCATGTCAGTTCTAAGGACTGAAGTCAAGTTGTCAAGCTTGGCAGCAAGTGTCTTTATTCGCTGAGCCATTTCATAGCTCCCCCAGAATTTTTTTTTTTTTTTTTTTTTTTTTTTTTTTTTTTTTTTTTTTTTTTTTTTTTTTTTTTTTAAAAGGTTTTCCCTCTTGCCCCCCGC